TAAGAACTTTTACCCTTGATTTTTAGTTCCTAATTCAATATCTTTATTATTTTAAGGCTGAAATATCTTCTACTTTATAACAAACTTATGATTAGCTTTAATCCATTTCAAGTAAGTTCCATTTAAATTGCATTTTCTCTACTCTAAAATCATATTATGTCTGGGATCTCTGTGTTTTGCTGCTTGTCGCCGGCAATTAAAAATCAAATTCGCTTTTCCAAATGAGATTTCTCTGCCCTGCTTTACCAACTCCCCCCTCTGCCTGTCGTTGTCATAATTTCGTTAAATAACGCAAAGCGGACACCTCATTGGATTGGATTGGATGTTATAGAGGATAGGAGATAGGGGATAGGGGATATAGAATAGAAGATAGAAGCGACCCAGACCGGGAAAGAGGAGTTTTCCGCAGAGCAAATTGGGAAATGTGGCAGCAGCTAGTTTATGTCACACAAATATCCAATGACAGACACCCAGCGGGTGGAATTCCCTTGGCTTCATTTTTGGATTTTTTGGCTTCGCTGCCAAAATATACGAAAAAAACAGAACAGAAAACTGAAAATATGGTAAAAGAAAAGCAAAAAGAAGAAAAAGCTAAACTAAAGCGCAGACTAAATCATGTTGGGGCGGTTGTAAGTGGGCGTTTGGGGTGGGCGTGGCCTCTTTGCTAATTTCATTGACTCTTCAGTTACTTTTTTTATATATTTTTTTTTGGTTGCCTGCCAAAATGCACTAAGTGGGTGGCTTTTATGGGCTTTATGAGTTACTTTTTGGCCCAATGCAGTTGATTTTTAAATGCAGTAACTTGGTGGGGAATTTTAGAAGATTTTTTCTCACTGAAATATTTAAGAAATTATGAAATAAATTAAGCAAAAAGGTACAGAAAATTTTATAATTTAGAAAAGCCATTCAAATCATTGAATAACCTACTTCTAAAACATTTTAATTGTTGTATAATAAACCTATTTGATATGTATATCTCCACAGAGAGATTGTTTTACCTTGAGACCACTTTAATTATAGTTTTGCTTAGTAAATTGCATACCTCTCAGTGTTGGCTGATTCTACTTACAATAATAATTAATCAGAAAAACCTTTTGTTGAGATTTTTCGCACCTGTCTGCTTTTTGGTGGGTGTTGTGGGTGGTGCTGGTGTGGGTTTGCCTTTGGTCTGGCAAGTTTTTCAATTACCTTAAGTGCAGTGCCAGCAGCAAAGATGGGGCAACAAGTTTGTCAGGGGTTTTGTGGGTACAGTTGTGCCTGGTCAGCCCAAGTTGAAGATGAAGACACTGCCTGCTAACCAGGATATGTGAGGATACAAAAAAACACAGAAAGGGGGACCGCAGTTCCTTTGGAGTTTTATGTTCTTCGTTTTGTATCTTTGTTTTTGTCTTTTTGTTTTTCTTTTTATTTTCACTCCAACTCCAGCACACACACACGCACACACACACTAGCTGGGATATAGTCACATATATCATTGTCAAGTCTATATGCAAGGCATCCCACCATACACCCACCCCCTATCCTGGCCGGAATATCATTCCCTTGACAGCGCGTGGGGCGTGCGGCAATCTTTTTGGCTTGTCAAATGCGCATTTCCTGCTTAGAAGAGTCCTGGCCGTCGAGGAAGCCGATGCCGATGCCGAATGCAGTGGGAAAAAATTCGAAATCAATTTTATTTAAATTCTATTTAAATTTCCTACGATTTTTACTTAAAATTCAAAGAATTTTCTAACTAAAGATTTCAGAAATTTCTTTAAAAAAGTTCTGTTTTTAAGTTATAAAATCCTATTTCAACTGGTTTTTGTAGATTTTTCTATTATAAAATTGTTTCTTAACTAAGTACCCCTTATTTTCTCCCAGTGCCCAGTATGTATCTGCTCTCGTTGCGTGTGTGAGTGTATCTGTATCTGTGTTTGTCTCCAGCGCAATCAATATGGCGGCGCTGGGGTAATAGCTGCAGGATTTACGCGCTCGTGCGGCGTCTCCACAAGCTCCCTTCCGTTGCCCCTCCTCCTAGCAATCCTGGCCAGGGCAGGCCTCCGCCACCCACTTACATGACCGCCAAGCCGTCGTCAGCTACGTCCTCGTCCGCGTCCTCGTCAGTTACCTTTAAACTTTTTTTTTTATTGATATTTTATGTATTAGTGGGTGTGCGTGGGTTTAGTCTTTTCTCTTTTCTGTTTTTTTATGAAAGCTGCTGTAATGATTTGTTTTATGAACTTGTTCCTGGCTTCGAAATGCCGCAGCCAATCGATGTTTAACCAAAGCCCATCGACTTCATTTTGGCCAAGGAATTTTATGGGTGGCCAGAAGAGGGGGGAAAATGGGAAGGAGAAAGCCAAAAGGCTAAGGTCTCAAAGAGATGCCAAGGCTTATAAAACCAACAAGTTATTTAGCTGGGCACAAAATAAATAAGTCAAGAATGTAAGCCAACTCCTCTTTAGCTGCAAGTTTATAGAACTTTGTAAAGGGAAAATTACATTAAATTAAATTATATAGTATTAAGAACCTTAAATTAAATTATTTTTTCTTTAAAAACCCTTTAAACTCAAGACTTTTATTTCCCAAATAAACCCTCTTTCTCAGCTTTATGTAAGCACACATATCATTCCCCAAAAACCATATACCATTTTCCTCTGTTCCTTTTTTTCCACAACTCACCTTTGGATCCAGCGAGGCAGGCTCATGATTTATGGCCAACAGTCGTCGAACGAAACGGGAGATGAGAGAGAGAGGGGTATGGAGGCAGGTGTTATTTAGTGGGTGGTGTGTCGGGAGGCTTACTTCGCCCCAATGCCAAAGCCAAGGCACTAAACTTCAATTAGCCCCGGCGAGAGTCCATGACTTTTAATCAGCGTACTTTACGCCACACACTCTCTCGCTCACACGCGACCGAGAAAGCTCGCTGCGAAATGAAAATGGGAATGAAAATGCGTGGTGCTGCAGAAAACACACAATAAATTAAACCAACAAGCAATTACAGAAACAGCAACAACCACGAGCAGCAGGAGTAGCCGTAGCAATCAAACAAAGGAGGTAATGAGTATGGGTTAGGGCTTTGAAAGTACCCTGTATATATGGGAAATACATCTTTAGTCACTTAAAACCTTTAAAAAGCTTAAAAAGACTTGATAAATTACATTAAAATTATTAATTTTAGTTTTTCTATAAAATGAGAATCTGCATAGAAAGCTAAGGCAACCGCAAAGTCTTGCTTAGTTGCTAATTCTGCTTGCTCCTTGCTGCCTTGTTTGTTTGGTGCTTCTACTGTTGCTCCTGCTCCTTTTCCTGCTCCTGCTCCTATTGCTACTCCCACTCCCGTCTATGGTCACACATGACATGGCGACAGACTGCAAAATCCCCACCAGAAAACCCCACTCCCCAAAACGCAGGTTAAAGGAAAATCAGCGTGGCATTTCCCACCACGCACAGTGGTGCCAAAACCCCAAGAAAATAACCATCAAAAGCCAAGCTAGTAACTACAAACTCAGTTCGAAACCAGGGTGCTCAGTGTTGCGTCCAGTGCCAAGATTTATTTGCTGGCCGTCGGAAGTCGAGTGTGAGTTCCAAACTGCGAGTTGCGAGTGGTTCCGAGGGCCATATTGGGTGGGTTTTCTGGCTGAAGGATGCAAAGTAACCAGGGTCGATCGGTGTCCTCCGCTCATTTTGCATGTTGCTAGCGGCGCTCTTTTCGGAAGGGGTCGCCGGCCCATTACAATAACAAATGAATGGCAAATTTGGCTGCTGAGTGCGGTGGGAGGGGAAACCCCTCAACCCGAACCCAAGGCAAAGGCAGCAGACAGACGCAGCAAAGTAGACTATGAAAAAGTGCCGAAAGATTTATGCCTGCCTGTGTCTCTTCCTCCTGGTATGGTGTCTCCTGTGTGTGTGCGTTTGGCAGTCAATGCGGATTTGAAAGCCATCCTTGGCGATAATAAGCTTGAAAGCCCACCCAAAAGTCATCCGCCTCAAAAACCACCCACTCTCGGGCGGCAGTCCAGGGTGTGAGTGTGTGACAACACACACATCGAGCTGACAGCAAATGAGACAGCTGCAAATGGAGAAGGTGTTGGTTGTGCTTCCCCCCTGCTCACTCTGTTCCCCCTGCCAAGCAATGTGTCGGGTATTAGCCTCAAAAATCCTTCGCAAGCCAAATTACCAGAGAGAGAGAGAGAGCGAGTGTGTGTGCCAGGAGACAGGAGCAAGTTCTGACAACCATTCGAGTGGCCTGTCGAATGCGTGTACAGTGTACACACACAGACCAGAAATAGATCAAAGATCCATAAGGTGTCTCTGCTGGGAGTTTATTTGATTGGGGTTCCCCTGAAGGAGGCTTTAGGGATTATGAAAATTGGGAGTGGGTTTAAATTTACAAATATGTATCCTTTATTTTAGAGCTTAAATTGGGGACGAAGGAGCTACTTATAGATTTTAAAAATTGGTTAATAGATCAAGTGTGTCTTTTTTGGGTTTATATAAATATTATTCATCCTAGAGATATAAATATTATTTTTATTGAAGAATCAATGGATATTCAATAGAAGTAAAATGGATCAAACTTGGCCAAAAATGCTCTAATTTCCATTCGGAAAACGGATCTGTGCTAGTTTTTTGTAAGTTAACAAATCTGCATACTTAATATTAAATTTTAGAAAATTCAATTTTTTGTGAATTTTTGAGAATTTTAATGATGTAACCCCTTATCTTTTTTTGAAAAAATGGCTCCAAAATAATTTTCCCCCGGAGACGGCTAGATCGACTGGGCTTTTAATGCTGATCAAGAATATATATAGTTTATAGGGTCGGAAATGACTCCTTCATAGTGTTAGTAGCTTTTGACTGAAATTAGAATACCCTGCAAAGGGTATAAAAATAAAAGGAGTTTTTAATTTTAAGGCTATTATAAATATATATATTATACCTCAAATCTCCCCTAACTTATATATATTTTAAATCAAATCTAAACTAATATATTAACCCTACTTTAAACTCTATTCCAGGTGTCCGCTGGTCAACATCTCCACCTGAGTGGCGACATGAAGAGCAATGTTTCTGTGGCTGCCCAGCAAGGTGTCTTCTTCAGCCAGCAGCAGGCGCAGCAGCAGCAGCAGCCCGGCGGCAACAATGGACCCAATCCCCAGCAGCAACCGCATGGCGGTAATGCAGCTGGAGGCGTGAATGTGGGTGTAGGCGGCGTGGGCGTGGGCGTAGGAGTGGGCAATGGCGGCCCCAATCCCGGACAGCAGCAACAGCAGCAACCAAATCAAAACATGAGCAATGCAAATGGTGAGCAAAAAGAATCTTTATTTGTAAATATATATTTAATCTTTAATCTTCTCCTCCAGTTCCCTCCGATGGCTTCTCGCTCTCCCAAAGCCAAAGCATGAACTTCAACCAGCAGCAACAGGCAGCGGCAGCAGCAGCAGCAGCTGCGGCGGCGCAACAGCAACAGGCAGCCGCCCAGCAGCAGCAGCAGCAGGTGCCGCCCAATATGCGCCAGCGTCAGACGCAGGCCCAGGCAGCGGCTGCAGCAGCGGCGGCAGCAGCAGCGCAGGCGCAGGCGGCGGCCAATGCCAGCGGTCCCAATGTCCCGCTCAGCATGCAGCAGCCGCAGGTCGGAGTGGGAGTGGGAGCAGGGCTTGGTCCTGGCCTGGGAGTCAATGTGGGCAATGGCGGCGTGGTGGGCGGACCTGGAGGACCCGGTGGCCCCAACAATGGTGCAATGAATCAGATGGGCGGACCCATGGGCGGCATGCCGGGCATGCAGATGGGTGGACCCATGAACCCGATGCAAATGAATCCGAATGCCGGAGGACCCAATGCCCAGCAGATGATGATGGGCGGCGGCAATGGTGTGGGTGGACCTGGACCTGGTCCCGGTGGTCCTGGTGGACCCAATCCCAACCAGGCCAAGTTCCTGCAGCAGCAGCAAATGATGCGGGCCCAGGCCATGCAGCAGCAGCAGCAGCACATGTCCGGCGCCCGACCACCGCCGCCCGAGTACAATGCCACCAAGGCGCAGCTGATGCAGGCCCAGATGATGCAGCAGACGGTGGGCGGTGGCGGCGTAGGTGTTGGTGTAGGCGTGGGCGTTGGAGGCGTCGGAGGAGTGGGCGTGGGTGGAGCCAATGGCGGACGCTTTCCCAACAGCGCTGCCCAGGCGGCGGCCATGCGGCGCATGACCCAGCAACCCATACCTCCCTCCGGACCCATGATGCGGCCCCAGCATGCGATGTACATGCAGCAGCAGCAGCAGCAACACGGTGGAGCAGGCGGCGGTCCTCGAGGCGGTGGCATGGGTGGACCCTATGGCGGCGGAGCGGGACCCATGGGCGGTGGTCCGCAGCAGCAACAGCAGCGTCCTCCTAATGTCCAGGTAACGCCCGATGGCATGCCCATGGGCTCGCAGCAGGAGTGGCGGCACATGATGATGTCGCAGCAGCAGCAGAACCAAATGGGCTTCGGCGGACCCGGCGGACCCATGCGGCAGGGTCCCGGTGGCTTCAATGGAGGTGAGTTTGCATTTGGAATACATTCTTGTTACTTTTACTAATCCTTGTAATCGTTTCTCTCCAGGCAACTTCATGCCCAATGGGGCTCCCAATGCGGCTGGCAACGGACCCAATGCCGGCGGCATGATGTCCGGCCCGCAAGTGCCCCAAATGCAGATGACCCCAGCCCAGATGCAGCAGCAATTGATGCGCCAGCAACAGCAGCAGCAGCAGCACATGGGCGGACCTGGTGGCGGCAACAACCAAATGCAGATGCAGCAGCTCATCCAGCAGCAGCAACAGGCGGGAGGCAACAGCATGATGGCCAGCCAAATGCAAATGTCCAGCATGCACATGACTCAGACGCAGCAGCAGCAGCAGATCACCATGCAGCAGCAGCAGCAGTTTGTGCAGAGCACCACCACCACGACGCACCAGCAGCAAATGCAGATGCAAATGGGTCCCGGTGGCGGAGGAGGAGCAGGCAATGGCGGTGTGCCGGCCAGTAACAATAATGGTGGCGGAGGAGGTGGCTCGGCGGTTGGTGGGAATGGAGGTGGTGGCAACTCCACCACGACCATTGCCAGCGCCAGTTCCATAAGCCAAACGATCAACTCGGTGGTGGCCAACTCGAATGATTTGTGTCTCGAATTCCTGGACAACCTGCCGGTGGATAGTAATTTCTCCACGCAGGATCTGATCAATTCCCTCGACAATGACAACTTCAATCTGCAGGATTTCAATATGCCGTAGATGCAGCCACTGGCCACCACCTTCAACCTCCAACCACCATAACCATAACCACCACGATGTTGCCTCAGTTTTGTTTAGGTTTTATTTTGTATTTTTTTTGTTGCCACACTGTTGTTGTTACTGCCCCCCCGCCCCGTTCCGCCACCCACCCGCGTTCCTGCCAACGAAAGTTATTTTGTTTGTTATATATTTGTGTGTGTGAGAGAGAGTGTGTGTGTGTGCGAGTGTGAATTTATTCCTAAGCCAAGTTCGTTCGTTCATCTCTAAATGTACTCCAACTTCCGCGGGCTCCACTGTATTGTATTTCGTAATTGTAATTGTAATTTTATGTATTATTAGCCAGAGATATAGAGAGAGAGAGAGCTGTTCCCAAGGTCCAAGGCAGGCGTTTGCGTGGAGCCTGTGGGCGTGGCACAAGCCACACATTCCATTTAATGAAAAAGTAAAACAAAGAAAAATTAGGGAAATTCGAAAAGTATTTGCAAGTACTTTAAAAATCCACAAGAAACCGATTTACACAGACAGAAAAAACTTAAGCACTTGTACTTAAAGCTAATTTTGAGTGCCACGCCCACAAGTAACGCTGTGCCCCGCCCCTTTTTCGTTTCGATTACTTAAGCAGCAGCAAAAAAGAGATAAGCAGAAACGCAAAAAGAACCAACAAAACAAAACGAAAAACAAAAATACGAGAAAAAACACAAAAATAGTAGTTGTACATTTTTTATATTGTATTTAATTTAAATTTTTTAATTTTTAAAAGAAACGAAAAAGAGCAAACAAAAAAATGGGAAAACTGTCGGAATAAAAAGCAAAAATATATTGGTGATATTTTTAAAATGCTTGAGAAAAAAAAAGAGAAATAAGCGAATCAAAAAAGAGGAAACAGAAAACAACAAAAAAGCAAAAGCCACAAAAAACGCAAACTTTTTAAGAAAACAACAAACATCAATTTGAAAGAGAGAATATGAGGAGAAACAGTTATTATTATTATTATTATTATTCTAATTATAATTATAACTATTATTGTACATTAATTTTTGTAGGACGACATTCATTTTTAAATGGAATTTTAAACGCGGAGCAAACAGTGCGAGAATTTGCGCAAACAAAAAACATATATTTAAAAAATATACACTATATATATACATATATATATATATATATTATGCGTAGTTTTTGGTAGTGAAAAAACGTAATTAGTAGTTTGTTAAATAAATTGATGATATACAACAACCACAACAACAAAATACATAATATTATACAGATATACAGATAACGAACGCAAGAGCAGCGCTAACAATTTACGAGTACATATATAGTAATTAGTCCTAAGTCGCCACAAATCGATGTTTGAGGGGATAAGCAGAGATCGAAATTTATATATTTACTACGACGAATGCGCCTGGCCGCATTACCAAGTGATGCCATGCCAAGCCAAGCCGCGCCCACGGGAGACGACGACGAACAATATTTTGAGCAGAAAAACAAGAAATCGCTAAGCAAGCAAATTATAAATTAATGAAAATCGAAAATCGAAGAACGCCAGAGATTCCAGCAATGAAATTATTGTACGACAACTAATTAGAGCAATTCCATAAGTCCGTAAGTTAGACGACAGACGAGGCCATAGAAATTTTTCGAATTGGGCTAAAACCGCCACTTCCACAATTATATAGTAAAACAGACAGCTCACAGCCATTTTTTGCAGAGTTTTTACACTACATACATTAATTAGGAGGATCGAGAGAGTACAGCAAAAGCAGCAGCAACAAAATCCATAGCACACACGCCTAGCAAAAAAAACTAAATTTATAATATTATAAATTTAATGCAAGTATTTAAGCCGCAGACAAACAAAAATCGATAAGAAATCTAACAGAAATTTACTATTACAATTATAAAAATAAAATACGCGAATTGTAGTTTGTAATTAATGCTAAAGATACGAAGTAAAAATTTGTTTATAACTATTATATGAAAACCGCAAATTATATATACACTATTATTAAATACAAATTATATATTATATATATACACACATGCATATTATTATTATTACTATATACAATATGGCATATATTATTATTACATATATATGTATACATATATATATATATATATATGTATTTCACCACGAATAAGGCAAACTAGCGAGCTAAATCGTAAGGTGTGTTCAGATGCCGCTGCCTCGCTAAGCAGTTCCATTGGCCAGGCCCACATCCTGGCTAGAAACAGGGGGAGAATAACTTGAAAACTTGATATATCAATTAACAAGAACGCAACCAGCTGCCAGCGGCAAACCAAAAAACAAGAAACAATTAAAATAAACATGAAATATTTACAAAACCGACAACAGAAAATGCAAAAGCAATTGCTGCAACAAAAAGTTTACTTTTAGCCACAGAAGTGACATCCATTTGGGCAAGTTTTTGATTTTGGTTTTGTATTTGATTAGCCAAAAATTTATTGGTGCGCGAGAAGAGTCTTCTGTTTGCCGTTCTGTTGTTCTCTCCGAGATTGAACGAACAAATGTTGGGAGGCAAAAACAAACAAAAACATTTAAAGATGTTCTTTTACGTTAAAAAAAAGGAAAGTAACAAAATAAAATAGAAAAATATTACTTTTGTAAATAAAATGCTAGTTGTTTTATTTCACATCCATTTCAGCGGGCAGAAAATAGAAGGAAGCTTAAGAATTTACCGAAGAAATACCATTCGGCATTCGATCAACATTTTATTATATATTTTATATCATTATTATCTCAAAAACTACACTCCTTGTTGGTGAGATTTGGCACAAAACCGCAGATCAAAATGTGCGCTGCTCCCATTTCGAGTAACAGGAGATCATAATAGCAGTAGGGCTATTTACATTAGCTGCAATCTTTGTGGATTGTATTTGGTTTAGTCGTGCATTAGCTAGAGAGAGATACCTTCCTCAAAGAGAGTCGATCCGCCATCCATATGTTTAAATTTATCCTGTTTATTTATCCTGGAGATATTAATATTATTTATCTTGGAGAATCAAAGGATATTTAATAGAAGTAAAATGGATCAAACTTAGCCAAAAATGCTCTAATTTCAATTCTGAAAACGGTCCTGTGCTAGGTTTTTGTAGGTTAACAAATCTGCATACTTAATAAGAAATAAAATTTTTTGTGCATTTTTGAGAATTTTAATGATGTAACCCCTTATCATTTTTTGAAAAAATGGCTCAAAAATAATTTTCCTCCGGAGACGGCTAGATCGACTCGGCTTTTAATGCTGATCAAGAATATATATGGTTTATAGGGTCGGAAATGACTCCTTCATAGTGTTAGTAGCTTTTGACTGAAATTAGAAACCGTGCAAAGGGGATTTTTAATTTTATAAATATATAAATTATACCTCAAATCCCCCTAACTTATATATATCTCAAATCAAATTTAAACCAATATTTTATTTATTTATTATTATTTATTCCTTTATTTTAGAGCTTAAAATAAGAGGAGGGGGCAACTTATAGATTTTAAAATTTGGTAAATAGATCAAGTTTGCAACGCTGTGATGGAGACCTTTCCCACCCTATAAAGTAATTTTATATAATTTTAGGATTGTCAGAGATGAAGCTGGAGGAGCGAGCAGATGGCTGGACAGACCTCAACCGGATGGCAGTGGAGGACGGTGATCGGATCTTGGCTCCGGGCTATATGAAAGCCTGCAGAAGGCGTAAATAATTAAAATATTTATAAATACAATTTAAATATGTAAATGTAATTGATGAAACACACAAATATGAATCAATAAAAGATGGTGAATTCAATGTGCAATTGTTTGGTGAAGGCGGCATTTATTTGGGATCGTTTGGGGAAAAATCTAATTATTTTGAAAGCCAAATCTAAATTTTTAATTTTTTTCTGAATTTTAAACATTTTTTTCGGATGTCTTACAATATTTCTAAATTAAAAAAATTTTTTTCTAAATATTTAAAACTTTTCTGGATTCTTAAAATTTTGCCTGAATTTTTAAATTTTTTTTCAGATTTTTTATATTTTTTAGAATTTTTTTTAGAATTTGTTACATTTTTTTAAATATAACTGCCAAATTTGAATTTGAATTTAACTGTCATGAGTGATGCTCATCTGGATCAGTGATGCTCATCTGGCTATATTTCAATATTGGAGGTCAATAAAGTCGGGCTTAATGTCAGTGATGCGCATGTGCATCAGTGATGCTCATCTAGCTATTTTTTTGCATTATTGGTAGAAAATTGCATCTCACTAGCTGCCAGTGATGAGCATCACTGATGGAAATGAGCATCACTGATTGAAGTGAGCATCACTGATGAAAGTGAGCATCACTGATGGAAGTGAGCATCACTGATGGAAGTGAGCATCACTGATGGAAGTGAGCATCACTGATGGAAGTGAGCATCACTGATGGAAGTGAGCATCACTGATGGAAGTGAGCATCACTGATGGAAGTGAGCATCACTGATGGAAGTGAGCATCACTGATGGAAGTGAGCATCACTGATGGAAGTGAGCATCACTGACGGAAGTGAGCATCACTGATGGAAGTGAGCATCACTGATGGAAGTGAGCATCACTGAGCGAAGTGAGCATCACTGATCGAAGTGAGCATCACTGATGGAAGTGAGCATCACTGATCGAAGTGAGCATCAGTGATGGAAGTGAGCAAAAATTTCCATCCAATTTGGCCGTTGCCCAAACTGGGGTAACAGGCAAACAGAAACCAGCAGCAAGCAACTGAAAACGGGTATAAACTGTTATAAAAACATTTGGGCAAAAATAATCATTGGTATAAACTGTTATATTTCATTTTATGCATTTATACCTGTTTTTTGCTGACAACAACAGCTTATGGCAACAACAACCTTTTTACAACAACATCCCTACAGCAACCCATCCAAATTTCCAAAAATTTCCATGCAAATTGCCCGTTTCCCAAATTGGGGTAACAGGCGAACAGAAATCAGCAGCAAGCAACTGAAAACTGGTATAAACTGTTATAAAAACATTGGGCCACGAAAAACGTGCCAGTGTGACCATATTGTAAATTTTGTCCAAGTTTCGAACCATTTAGGAGCCGGCGCAAGTAAGCGGAGACTCAAACCTTTTGAATCCAAATTTAGATGTTATTTTACAACTTCACCTGGTCACACTGAAACTGATCGTCGTTAAATTCAAATTCAAATTTGGCAGTTAAATTCAAATTCAAATTTGGCAGTTACAACATTTAAAAAAATTTAACAAATTCTAAAAAAAAATTCAAAAAAATATAAAAATTCTGAAAAAAATGTTAAAAATGACTCCTTCACTGGGAAATCAACTTCTGACTGACATATTTAGGTTTATTTAAATATAATATATCTTGGAGAATCAAAGGATATTAAATATACATAAAAAGCTTCAAACTTAGCCAAAAATTGTCTAATTTAAATTCGGAAAACGGATCTGTGCTAGTTTTTTGTAGGTTAACAAATCTGCATACTTAATATTAAATTTTAAGAAATAAATTTTTTTGTGAATTTTTGAGAATTTTAATGATGTAACCCCTTATCATTTTTTGAAAAAATGGCTCAAAAATAATTTTCCTCCGGAGATGGCTAGATCGACTCGGCTTTTAATGCTGATCAAGAATATATATGATTTATAGGGTCGGAAATGACTCCTTCATAGTGTTAGTAGCTTTTGACTGAAATTGTAATACCCTGCAAAGGTTATAAAATTAAAAGGGGTTTTTCATTTTAAGGCTATTATAAATATATATATTATACCTCAAATCTCCCCTAACTTATATATATTTTAAATCAAATCTAAACTAATATATTAACCCTACTTTAAACTCTATTCCAGGTGTCCGCTGGTCAGCATCCATACAGTGATGAAAATTCTTAAAAACTGATAATGGTAATAGCAAATCCCTTCCCCAAGGGAGTCTGTCGATCGTAGGCTAGATAGAGAAAACGAATACCATCCTCAAAGAGTGTCGATTCCACTTTGTTCGTTCATAGTTTTCATTCATATTTATTGATTCTTCATACGCATGGTTTTCATAATACATAATTGCATATTTTACGACTTATGTTAAATATTCCATATATTATTCCATTTTTAAATACATGAATTTAAAGTGTATGTGTGTGGGGGTTGTGTGTGCTTGTTGCTTAATCGTTTAACATTATCGTGGAGCAATATTCCTTCTATATGCTTAGCTTTCGCAATTGCAGGCTATACGTAATCGTGAGCACTCCCTGCTCCACGCGGGTTTCCTAGGCAGAGTTGAACTTATAAATTAACAAGCTTGACACGATGGCTAATCATATAATATTTGTGTTGGAACTAAAAACAGTTTACAAATAATTAGCAACTATTGCGAGAACTAAAAAGTGTGTATGTGCTAGAACCTAATTAGATGCTAGAATTTCCAATATATTTACTCGTACGCTTTACTGTTTTTATGTTATACTCTGTATTAGGGTTTTAGTTTTCGGCTTTTGCTAACTTTTCAACACTTAGATGCTAGTGCTAAGGGTGCGATTACAATATAATTCCATCCGATCCGATTCTGGCCATATATACCTCAAAGAGTGCTTTCCGTTTAAACAATGTATTGTAAATGCAATAATCGCTTGCTTGGTTAGTTTAGGAGTTATCCTTCCCGTACTCGTTATCCTTCAAGTACTCGTTACCGTACTCGATCTCGCTACTCGTACTCCATTTATAATTCATTTTCAGTTTGTGAGAGCGAATGCCTTTTCTGGGTTTCCGTGTTCTGTATGTGTTTTTGTTTTGTTTTATGCAGTAAAATCAGCCTTAGTTGTATAATAATTGTTACAACGTGAAAACGCATTTATATAAGTTGTTGACGATACAAGCTTGAGAACCTTCTCTACTTTATGTTTCCTCATTGCTCCTGTAATACTCTGGCAAGTAAAAGTTTTTCTCTATAAAAAACAATTATACAAAAGATCTCTCCCATCGGTTAAAAGTAAAAATCTGTAAATTTTACTAGCAAAAAATTTACGTTTTTGTTTCAATTTTCTTGTTGTATTCTTTCGGATTATAAAATTTGCCGCCTATTGAAATATTTTCGTTTACTTTTATTTTATAAATACTTGGTTTAAAAACATTATATACGTTTTATCCATTTTAGTATTGTTTAGGTTTAGGTTTAGTTTTAGTTGACTTTGACTTGACTTGGAAATTCGGCTAAATGCTCAAATTCAAATATTATTGTTACTCGGTGCTTTCCCTTCCTTTTAGGCCTATAAAAACCTACGCTAGTTTGTGTATTTAGATTAAATGTGTTTAGTTTTTCGCTTAAATGTGTGTTTTGTGCACTAAATCGAACACGAATGATCAATGGATGGATACTTGAATAAATGAACTTGTCTACGAACTAAGACTTGGCTCGAAAGCAAACTGAAAATAACGAAAATGCGAATTGGCATTCATTCGACTGCCTCTCAGTTTGTTTTCAAGAGGCTCCTCTTGGGGGATTTCAGGTTTTAACCATTAGATATTGCTGCTGTTTCGATTACAAAATAGCGTTTAGTTACATAAATTTATATCACACGCAATAAATATATAATAAAAGTAATTAAAAGACTGGGAAATCAAACGGTTAGCAGTTCGAACGTGATCCCTTTTAGCCGTATTTAATCGGGTGCAGTTTCTTATTTTCGTTGTGAGTTGGCAATGACTGTTGTTTTGGACTAACAACTAATACTAACTAACAATGTAACACGATTTGGCAAACGATTGATTTGATTTCTGGCTACTTGGCCACCTGCTTAGTGCAGCCTGTGGTGGTTTGCCTTGGGCATGGCCCCCACAATGCGAACCCTGCCCAAGGTGCCCACCGAGCCGGGACCGGCGCCACCCGACAGCCGTTGGTGCATCTGCAGTTGCATCTGCTGCTGCTGCTGCTGTTGCAGTTGCTGCTGCAGCTGTTGCTGCTGCTGTAGCTGCTGATGCTGCTGCAGTTGCTGCTGTTGCTGCTGCTGCTGTTGTTGCTGCTGCTGCTGCTGCTGGGGATGGTATTGGCTCGTTGGCAGATGCGGCTGCGGCGCGTGCTTGGCATCGTTGCAATCGCAGAACTGCGGCGGTGGCGCCAACACCAGATTGTCGGTGCACAGCTGCTGCAGATTGTTGTTGCCCGGCTGCACCGCAGCCGCTGATCCAACGCCCGGAACGCCAGCAACAACAGCGCCAGAGGCAACAGCCACCAGCTGTCCGCTGGGCAGCATGCCCACAACCATCGGCTGCGGTTGTTGCTGCTGCTGCTGTGGATGTTGCTGCTGCAGTTGCTGTTGCATTTGCAATTGCTGCAGCTGAAGCTGATGAGCTGGATGGTTCTGACGCTGAAGCGTATGCTGCGACGTCGGCTCACCATCGCTGTCCGCCTCCAGAGGCGGCGGCAGCTGCATCAGGGACACGGCCGAGGTTCTAGTGGCGCCCCTTTGCATGGCAATTGCCGCCGCCTGCTTGCGCGTCAGCGAATTGTGACGCTGGAAGGCCTTGGCCGGCGGCGAGGGACTCAGATCGCCATCGTCATCCTCCACATCGGAGCGCTGCTCCATCTCCGATTCGTGGCCACCGCTGTTGCTGTTGCCCTTGTGCAGCTGCTGCTGGTGCTTGGCCACCAAAGCGGCAGTGTTGCTGGCTCCTCCGGCCGCCGCTGCCTTGGCCTTGAGAATCTGCTGCAGGTGCTGCTGGTGTGCTAACTGCTGCTGTTGCTGCTGCAGGATCTGCTGCTGGGTGGCTATGAGCTTCTGATTCGGATTCGATTGCTGCTGCTGCTGCTGCTGCTGGTGATGGTGGTTGGGAATGCGACCCAGCACCTGGGGACTCATTACCTTGTTGTTGGCATTGACATTGATGTTGCTGACATTGCTTTGAGGCAGCATCTTGGCCACTGTTTGGGGTTGCTTGCTGCCCAGCTGCTGCTGCTGTTGCTGGATAACAGGTGCATGTTGCTGCTGCACTAGTTGCTTCACCGTCAGAGTGGCTGGGGCTCCTCCTCCTCCGCCACCTATGCTGATCGTGGTCTTGGCCATGGGCTTGGTTTGGCTTGGCTGATCTGGTATGGTCTTGGGTTCCTCCACTATGGTCACCGTTGGCTTCTTTTTGATGGTATCGGTGGGCTTGCTGACTGCCCCGGCCTGTGCCTGGGCCTGCTGCTGCTCCTGTTCGCTGCTCACCCCGGAGCTGCTATTATCGCACTCATCCTCTCCAGGCTGTAAATGCTGCTGCGGCTGCTGTTGCTGGTGGGCTTGCTGTGGCTCTTCTTCTGGCTTTTTGGCAAAGCCATTGGGCGATGACTTGGAGGTCTTGAGATTGCTACGAATTCGCTGGATCTCCTCCACGGAGAGCGAGTGGGAAATGGAGGCGCTGCCCGAGTTAGAGCTGCTGCCGCTGTTTGGGATAAAGGAAGGAATTAATAGGGACTCCATGATTCTATAGAAGATTTCTTACCTGGCCTGACTATTGCCACTGGTCTCGGGCACATCAAACAGGGCTATCTTCTCGTTGAGCTTGGTGTTGCGAGCCACCAGAATGGAGTTCTCATCCTCGCCATCTGACTCGCTGCAGCTGTAGTCTGGCTCGGGTATTGGCGGAGCTGTTCCAGCTGTTCCATTTCCATTCTGTGCCGGAGCTGGCGCCGCCTGCGTCTGTGGCGGCGGCGGTGCTGGCGGAGATTGAGGTGCCGGCTGCACTTGCTGGACCTGGACTTGAACCTGCACTTGAGGAGCAGCGTAGTGGGACGCCACTGCCGTGGGCTGCTGCTGCTGCTGCTGTTGTTGCTGCTGTGGTGGTGGTCGCATCTGCGTGGGAGCCGCATACTGACTCACCGGCTGCTGGGAACCAGCGGATGTCTCCTGCTGGGGCTTCTCCTGAGCCTGACGCAGCTTCCAGGCCATCACGTTGCGCAGCTCCTGAGGCGAGGCATAGATCTTGGCATTCGCCGAGGGATTGAAGCTGCTCTGGACGCCATCGATGGCGGCACTGGTCACCGCATCGTTCTCCGTACGCTTCTTCAGCTTCTGCTGCAAGGAGACAGTGCTCTCGTACTCCGAGACACTGCTGCGCGTCTCTACCTTGACCACCTGGCCTACGGGTGGCGGCGGTGGGGGATGATTCGGTGGTGGCAGCACCGCCTGTCCTAATCCTCCCAGCTTCAGCTCACCCTGGGTGGAGTTGAGGCGCTGCAGGGAGGCATGTAGCGTGGCCACGTCGTCCTGCGAGTGGTGACCCTTGCCGGCTGCCTGCCAAATGGATGAGGCGGAGCCGTGTAGCTGTGGTCCATGCAAATCAGGAGTCGAATGGAACCGCTTGAGGTCCCGTCCACCTCCTGCTCCGCCACCTGCTCCGACCGTGGGAGTGGCCACTGGCTTGCCGCGGAGTGTGCCACTGCCGTGCTTACTCCTCGCCGTCTTGCGCTTCATCTCGGCCACGCTGCCGTAGACCAGAGGGCCGGTCCTCATCGGGGAACCATTGGAGGCGGGCGGGGTGGCCGCTCCGCTGTCCGTGCCTGACTGGAAGCGCGAGCTGGTCATCATGGTGGCATAGCGACTGGCATTTGCCGCATTGCCCTCGCCCTGTTGCCGCTGGAAGAGCTCCTCCAGCTCGGCAGCTGTGATCCTGCTGGAAGTGGGTCGCGCCTTGATGCTGGCCGTGCGCAACTGTACAGGCGTTCCTGGCCCCGTCTGGTTCACGCCGGCGCCGCCACCCGGTGGGGGCATGGCTATGGACTCCACTGAATTGGACTTGGTATGTGGCAAGTCATCCTCCTTTTCGCCTCCATTCTCCAGACCAGCCACCATGGACTTGGCTCGAGCTCGGCCCACACTGAGTGTGGTCTTGGGATCACGACGCGGCGGCATAGGAGCCATGCGCACGCTTCCTCCGGCCGAGGATCCTCCGCCGCCATTGCCTCCCGGACCCGCCATCTTCCTGGGCAACGTGGCGCACTGCCGATGCGATGACTGCGGCGTGCTTGGTCCACTGTTTAGGTGCTGGCTACCGGCCCGTGCTCCGCTGGGCAGGTACTGGGCACTGGCCTGCATCTGGTGGGGAAACTGGGGCGAGACCACAGTCATGTTGACCAAGGCGCCCGCCGAGCGTATCATCTCCACCACCTGCTCGTGCGAGGCGGCGCTCACGTCCTCGCCGTTGATGGTGAGAAGGAAGTCACCTGGCCGGAGTCCAGCCAAATCTGCCACACCACCTGGATCTACATCGTCTAGATATTGGAGCGCCGGAAAGCGCTCTGAGGGACGCAGCTGCATCAGCTGGGAACTGGCCTTGGCGCCACGCAGGATAAAGCCGAAGCCGCGCTTGGCGCGGTGCAGCACCACCGAACGTGGGGCATTGTAGGCGCTGTGGAGGAGTAACCAAACTGGGGTTAGTTGGAATTTCTGGGAAATATATCTTTTATAGACTTGCCTCTTTTTGATGCGCGGCGCTGTGGCGCTGCTGTACTGTCCCACGGAGTGGTTATTGTTGTGGTTGTTGCCTGACCCAGCACCAGCTGCTGATGCTCCTCCGCCTCCGTTAATCTCTCCAGGCTGCTGGCAGGAGCCATTGCTGGCCACCGACAGCGAGGGAGACTGGTGGGGCTGCTGCAGCAGCGTGCTAGAGCTGCCCGAGTGCCCCCCAAGGCTCAGCTGTGGAGATCCCTGGTAGGAGGCGGCGGAGGACACGGGCGCCTGCTGTTGCAGATGCTGCTGCTGATGTTGCTGCTGTTGCTGTGGCGCCATGCCCGTGCTGGCCGTCATCACATTGGTGATGTGCTTCTGGCGCAGACTCACCTCCTGGACGCAGTCGGCAGGAAAGAACCCAGACTGATTGGTGCCGCGCACATAGCCCTCGAGCAGGCCACAGTCGGTGCTGCCCACCACCTCGATGACATCGCCCGGCTGGAGGCGAATGTGGCCCACGGTGTTGCCGGCATAGGGCTCCATGCACACCACCGTGGTGCTGGGATGGCCAATGGAACAGGCTGCCGAATCCGAGTTGGTTCCCACGCCCGAGGAGTCGCTGATGATGTCGCTGGTATCGCCCAGGGATTTATCTGTTCGAAGGAGGACGAGGAGCAGGATGTGGCAAGAGTGAGTGCGAGGTAATCTTTTGGTTATTTTCATGGTGGGGTATATATATATATAAATAGTGAAGAGAGACATGCACATGTCGGGGAGCGGAAGAAGTAGCCTCCGGCAAAGTGGAGACAAAGCGGATGCAGTGAACCGACGGACACAATGAAGACTTATGGTAAAAAATAAAGCATAGACACGACATGAACTGCGAATTATCTGCGAGTTTAAGTGACGACGAGTGGTTACATTTATATACCCTTTAATTTCAGTTAGGAGAAACTAATTTTTAAATTAATTAATTAATTAATAAGAATTTTGAGCCTAAACTACCCTTAAGGACAAGAGCCAGACCGGATTCTGGCAAAAACTCTTAGAGATTAAAGAGGCACTTACTGTTAATTAATGTATTAAATAATAATAATTATTATAAATACATTTTTATTATTATTATATTATCGTTATCATAATAATCATTATTATTATTGTATAATTATGAAAAACAGACATTTTCTTCAACAAAAATATAATTTGATGATTTTGGAATGGTTTACTTGTTGTGCAGTATTCATGATAGAAAACAGCATGCAAAATTCAATTATTTTTCCTTTTCAAAAGTCTACTAAAACGCATGCTTAAATATATAGAATTAAATATAGATCAAAGGGTACTTATCCTTTCCTGGTTTATAACTTTTTACAATATATATTTTGCCTTAACTTTGCCTCCCCATAAAACAGATCAAAACTTATAACAAAACCAAAACTTAAACTTAAGCAAATGCAAATGAGAGCGAAATCAAAGTAATATATATTCCTCACCTGTCACAATGCTGATATCATCCTCATGGGATCGGTGGCCAGAGGAACCCTCGGACAGGCTGGAGCTGGCGGAGCTGTAGGCGCCCAGCATGTGCTCCGAGGGGCAGGGCGATGGCGGGCCATGGAGCTGCAGGGCATGAAGCTGGAGGTGGTGCTGGTGGTGCAGATGGTGCTGCTGCTGCTGTTGCTGCTGGTGGTGCCCGGCTAGGAGCTGTTGATGGTTCTGATGGCTCAGCATCAGACCAACACCGCCAGCCCCGCCGTTACCGATGCCATTACCATTAAGGTGGCCATTTGCACTCCCATTGGCGACCATTGCACCACCAAAGCCACCGCCAGCCGCTGCCAAGAGAGCGGCACCGGCGGCTCCGTTGGCGCTCAGCCACCCGATGCCCGAGCGTCGCTTCGGATTGTAGCGCGGCGGTCCGCGGAAGGGAACTGTGTGGTGGATTAAGGATATGCGCTTAGAATATGTGTGTGTGTGTGTGTCTTAAGAGTTGTGTAAGGGATGGGGAAAGGTTAGGTTGTGTTAAAGGTATTGGGGTCAAGTCAGAGGTCAAATCTGGCTAATATTGGGAGCTCTTCAAATGGGAAAAATCTTTGTCAAAGTTTAGGAAATACAATTGTTGGTTTGGACTTTCTTTTCTGTTGAAAAGATGTATTTTTTTAAAATAATTTATCGATTTTATTGAAAAGAAATCAATAGTTTTGAGTAAATTAATCGATAATTGATTTCAGAAGTAGTTTATTTGGTAAATTATTTACTTTCTTCTCGGTAAAAATTTAAAACCGATTAAAAAATTAATTTTAAATATAATTTTATATAATTTATATTTCTTTATTTTATTTAATTCTGACTTTGAACATTAAAAATTTTAAAATTTGACGTCTGACTTTAGACGATTTTCGTCCAGTAAGAATTGTTTTTAATTTTTGTAGAACTTTTCCAAAAGCCCAAAAGACCGCTCTCTACTCAATCTATTTTCAAACATTTTAAAATTAAGAAAATATAATTAAATAATATTTAATCTAAGGCCCTAAGCCAGCTTAAATGTTTATATTCCGGGGTTACACACCTTACTTACACTTACTTACACTGATCATTTACCGAAGGCTAAGCGACTGTGACAAAATAAGCAAACTATATAGTCGAGGAGGACACTCTACAAATGTCCTGTCCCCAGGCAAACCAAGAAACTCGCTATTGGTGAAATGTGGTAGTAAATGTAAGAAAACATTGAACAAAACACACGGAACAAGAACAGCCAAAAAGAGTTTGGAGTGTGTGGCATCAACATTAACTATTTGAATTCGAATACATTTATATATATATTTAGACTTAGAGCAAATATCTCAAAAACAAGCAAATGCAAAATACGAAAAGGTGTTTGTTTTGGGTAAAATGTATATATATATAGGTGGCACTTTATATAAAAGTTGAAAGGAGTATTAATATTTATATAAACGAGTATTGTACATTGATATGATTGGGTAAAGAGAGACCTAGATGATCAAGTTGGATGATTGATTGAATGAATAATGATATGCGGTGTGTTCATAGAGAGAAAGAGCGATTGAGTGATACACACAAAATGTTTTTTTTGGGGGAAAATCTGTGATTCGAACCAAGTCTTAAAGGAAACTACATGTTTTTTGAGATGAGTACAGAATTATAATTATTTTAAAATAGATTGAGTAGAGCAAAACGAACTGAGAAACGTAATAAGAAACAAGGATAAACAAGGAAGTTGTTCTTGTCAAAAACAACTTCCCTTTAAATGGGAATTTTTGGTTTGAGATGAGTATGAGCTGTTAGTTCTGTCGAGTTGATGAATCTATATAGTTAACCTGCACTTACCTATATCCTCTGATTTGTAGTTCTCAATTATCTCCGCCAGTTCCAAGTTGCCGGCTATGACAGCCACCTAGAGGGGGGGAATCACAAAACGTATTAAATAACCGGAACCAAAAATCAAGTTATTAACTCAACAAAAACTAAACTTAATCACTGTAACTGAACTACAAAGCGTAACTACAGCGGCAGCAGCACAAAAGTACCAACTTAGAGACTACAAAACTACGAGTTAACAACGAAAAATTCATTACTTTCAAGAGTCCAGAGTTTGCACAGAGAGGGAATATGTTCTAAGATTGATTTTAATTAATTTTATTAGCCATCTTACATTTCCTGCCCTGTACTAACTTCTAGACTCCCGACAGAGAGACACTGGTCTTTACCTGGTAGGGAGTTTGATTGGCAAAGTTCTGGGCGCCACGCTGGGCGCCGCGAAAGAGAAGCATACGGGCACAGGCCTCTTGGTTGTTAACGGCGCACACATGCAGCGGACTATTGCCGGAGGCATTGCGGCCGTCCATGTCAGCACCGTAGAACAGCAGGTGTTCCAGGTGCTGGACCAGGCCATGCCGACAGGCCTGATACCGGAATCGGGAATCACGACGTAACGGAGGTAGCCAAAGGATGCAGCAGCCACAAACCGCGGGTTACAAAGTATTAGCAAGCGAATTTTTTTGGTTTTTTGTTTTTGTTTTTGATATTTTTTAGAGTTAGAAAGAGAAGTTAAAGAAAGAAGAGAGAGAGAGAATCAATCAGTAATTGGCAAATCACCGGGAATTGGTTTTGGCTTGGGTTCAAAGCTGGGTTTTGCTGTTAGGAATCAGACCGGGTTTCACTGGCTTCAAGGACCGTCACCGACTCACCTGATGCACCTCGTTCCAGCCCTGACTATCCTGGATGCCCAGTGTGGCATGATCATGTAGCAGACTCTCTGTGATCTTGGCCTCACATTTCCGGGTGATGGAAATGTATAAAGGGGTAATGCCACGCCCGTCTCGGTAGTTGGGCGAAGCTCCCAGCTCCAGGAGAGTGCTGTAATGATGGAAAAGTATTAATAAGACTTTCGAAATAGATATCCCAGTCCCTCCTCCTACCTAACCGCCTCTAAAGAGTCTTGCTCCACCGCTCTATGCAAAGCCGTGGTCCCATCCTTGGTCCTGTAATCCAGCAAAGCTCCTCCATTGACCAAGGCAATAAGCAGCTTATTGGGCTTCTTGGCGCCTGTGGCCACTGTCAGTGGAGTTTCGCCGCTCTCCGAGCAATGGAAATTGGGATCAAGACCCTTGGCACACATCTTGGCTATCTTCTCCACATGCCCACCATTGATGCACTCTAGAAAGCGACGCAGATTGGCCCGTGTGTGGAGAGCCTTGAGCTGACGTTCGTCTAAAGTGAGCATTTTGTAGACACGCCGTTTGTACTTGAGCTGGAAAATTCAAGGAAAAATCAGTAAAGGAAATAAATTCGTAACTGATTGCAAAGACTTACCTCCAAGTAGCCAACGGGTCCATTGAATGGATAGTCGCCCAGGCGTCGCTCTTCGTCCAGGAATTTGCCAGCCTTGCCATTGGCAGGTGGGGCGAACAGGCCATAGTTGAAGCTCTCTTTGAGTTCCTGGAAAAGCAAGGAAAATCAGAAGGTGAAAAACGGTTTAAGGCAAGGGTGTGTGTTGTGTTTTTTTGTGAATCAGGTGCGCCCATTGACGTCGTGCTCAAGTCGTGCAAGTGGCACAAAAGACTTCCGGCCTTAGCAATGGCTGAACTTCCTCCTAGTACTTATGCATATATATTATGCTATAAGCACTGGGAGAAAAATAGGTCTTAAAAGTTATCAAATAAATTTTTAAGAATGTAAATACCAGAAAGGAATTACTAATTATTCGTTCCCCATATAATATTTTTTAAATTATAAATATTATTAATATATAATTATTATCCTTGATTTTCAGTGCATTATTTATGTATTTTATATGTTGTCTGCCACACAATGTCCTCGCTAATGAGCGCGTGACTGCAGCACCCATATATGTGGCAGCTGAAAGGACACCCAACTAGGAGAGAGACCTAAACACAGGCTCGCATCCTGCCTGGCATTCATAATTTACCGCCGCCTTTAAGTGGCAATTTCTTGTTTTAATTAAACAAAAAAATAAAAACCTACAGCACATGATCCCTCTCTCCATCTACCTCTTTTTCATCCCGGAAAAGTTTGGTCTATGATGCACACAGAGAGACTCTCTCCCGGAAAATGTCTCGAGTGAATAACGGGTTTGACATTGCCAAGCGCTGCATTAATTATGCAAAGTGCGTGTTTGTGCATAGAGTGTGTGTGTAGGTGGTGTATGTTGTTCCCAGTTCTATTTGGTTCATTCCGCACGCCCTTAAGTGCCACTGAAAGGCTGTTGCCATGTTGCCTCATAATGTGCCAAATGTTGCCATTAAAGTGAACAGTTTTGTCGTGCCCACCGCCTTCTCCACATGTGGAAGCGTGGAAAATGGTGCTAGATGAGCAGGTGGTTATAGGAAAAGCTGGGAAATAAATTCGTTTTCTAATTAACCAAGAAATGTATTGTCTTTTTAGGGTGATAGTTTCAACGGAAGAGAGAAAACAAAAGCATACAAAATTCATTTTAAAATACATACAAAAGAAACCCCCACTTTTAGTATCTTATTCCTATAAAAATTCCCCAACTTCTCCATAAGCTTGTTTTCTCCCAGACACATATTTACTTTCTTGAACTTTAAATAAAACCTAAAGCAGTTACAGGTTATTTGCATAACTGAAAACTATTCCGCCTGCATTCATCCTTTTCTCTTTCCAGTCACGTATCCGAGACTTTGTTTATATAGTTGGAACCCGGATTCATATGCAGCAGCAGCAGCGGCAATAGTAGGAGCAGGAGTAGGGGCAGTTACAGCCCTTCTTCATCAAGTTTCCCACCCTTGGCCACCATAAATTTCAACCGCACAAACTAACACGCCACAAAGGAGCAGTTACACCCGTTTCTCCACCTCCGCCTCCTACTCTCCTCCTCCTGGGAATCCTGCGATTCCCTTTCTCCCCCCAACTCCTTTGGCAAATACAACAAAACACGTTAACGGTCTGTGCGCCAAATGGATTTTATGGCGCCACCCTCGGTTCTCTGGCCTTTGGACCGCTCCCATTCCCAGGGAATTTTCCTTGCCCTGCTCTTTCTCCAACCCCTCTCTGCCTTCCCCCAACTCCTCATCAGCACCCTGGGTCTCAGTTACAGTCTCAGTCATGCACATGCAAATTGCAGACACGTAGCTGCCCTAGACCCCAAACAAGAGCAGGGGAACCAGGAAGAGATTCCTAAGTCGAAGTGGGAAATACTCTACATAAATTAATCTTTTTGAGTTCATTTTTAAAGGAAAAACAAAGACTGAAAGCTAATTTAAATTTATAAAATTAATCCCAGACATTTTTTGTTTATTAAAAGATCATTAAGACGTTCCTAAAAAATATATTTCTAACTAGAAATCTAATTTTCCCTAAATTCCAATGACAAACACCTCCCCTAACTCATAATACTCTCTCTCCGAAAGAGCATAAAAGTAGCTAAAAAAGGACGCAATAAGGAATTCCCAGAAACTTTTCAGGTTTTTGGGGGTTGTCCTTTCCCCCCCTTCTGAAAAAGGGGGATGGCTCAAAGTCAAGTTGTTTGCGCAAATTGCATTTTTATGAGTTTTGATTTCGATTTTCCAATCCGTAAGACGACAACGGCTTTGGCTCATAAAGAAAGGTTTTTCCGGGGTAACGGAAGCTGTGCGCTTGCTGTGCTTTTCGGAAAAGTAATTTAGAACTTGTGCTCACTTTTTGGCTTTAAAACACTTTTCAAACTGTTTTTGGGTGATTTTTTTTTTTTCCTGCCTTTTTTGCTGCTGGGTGGCAGCCATAAATTCCGTTCGGCTGCAACAAAGTGGGGCAAGCGGAATGTGTATTCGACATATTCGGTTGTATTTTTGCGGCAGCTTTGGGGGGGAGCTCCATAAATCATGGAGGAATTGCAACTGCAGGCGAGCAGCAGCAACATAACCAGCAAACCCAATGGCTCTCCGAAGGGTATATACATGGCAACAAATTGCAATTTGCATGAAATTTACAATATTGCACAGTTTGAGAGACAGCCCAGTGCCATGGCGAGCAGTTTACGAGCCTTAGACATTTTTTTGGGGTTAAAGCACGATTAGTTTTAAAGTCACTAATAGATGGGAATTACTACAAGGTGGAGAGAATCTGTTACTAATTGAAATTAAGGCATGGTTCTTTATAATAAAGCTGAACAAATGGATATTTACTTGGAAATAATTGAAAATCTAAGGAATGTAGTGAGCAATACACCTAATCCCCCTTAAGATTTACTTTAAATAATTTAAGAATATTCTTCAAATGATATTAGAAGCTCAGTTCTTATAACTTAAACCCCACTAAATGCCCTAAAATATAATCTCAACACTTTATTCTTCCGGGGGCCAAGTGTCAATCAGCTTAAAATAAATTCTCCAGCTTAAATCTCAAATCTCACATACGCCGTGTTTGAGAGTCACAGCTGGAATAATTCAATTCAATTTGGAAGCAATTGGCAATGCAATGCAATTGCACTTGCAATTCCAATCTGCACAAGTGCCTCTACAACGGTGGCACAGTTGGAGAGCCACTTGCCCCGCACTGAGGCGAGTGAGTGTCAAGCTCAGAGATGCGAGAGAACCCGAGTAAATGTCAATGCAATGTGCGATGTGCACTTGCTGCCAGCCAGCAAATAAGCGACTTCCTGTTCCAATAAGAAGACTAAGAAAAAAAAATAGAGACCCCAAGGCGACTCAGCCTGAAGCAGCAGCAGCAGCAGCAGCAACAAAAGACATCATTGATAAATTGTCAAACAGTATATAGTATAGTATAGTATTCTGTTGTTGTTGGTGCAATTGTCTTCTTGTTGATTGAAAGCTGAAAGAGAAGGCAATAGGGGCTACATGGACAGGTAGTGCAGCATAAACAGTGCCAGCAAAAAGTAAACAGACAGTCAGCGAGTCCGATGGACCAGAGACCGGACAGCCTCCAAAAGCCTCCATTGGAAGTGGGTCGCAGTCCGACGACCATCTGTTGTTATTTTTACACTGTAAAAATAAGGGGTTTATTCCATTAAAAATGCAGAATTCTTTACAAAGAATACTGATGAGGGAATGTTGCTCTCTCTTGAAACAGATGAGTACCAACTCACTCTTTAAAAAACTGTTTAAGCTGGTCAGAAAAATGCTTTCAAAGTTAAAGAAATATTATTAAATATTATAAATACTACTCTCCTGTTTCTCCCAGTGCTTTCGTAATCTCATTCTATTGCTGCAATTAGAGTCGCAACTAGCTTGAATTTTGTGCAGTTTTCAGTTTGCCGCTAAAGTCACGGATTTGCTTTGATTTTTATTTATTTGTTTTTTGTTTTTCTTCGATTTTTTTCCCTGCCTTTGAGGAACTTGGTGGCTAGATACATTTTTTTGTGGTCTCATTAGTGTCAGCAGTTTTGGTAAGCAATTTTTGGCATTTTGGCAATGCGAAGAAACTGTAGAACAATATGCCCCACAGTTGTGCAGCCACTGGAGGCAGACTCCCACTCGAAATGGTATCGTATAACCAAGGAATAACCAAAGATCTGAGCCAGAGAGAAAGAGTTGACAAAGCGCAGCAGAGTGATAACGGAAATGGCAGTAAAAGGGAAGCAGAAAAGATGCTGTACTATGGGATTAAAACAGAAAATATAAAGCACTTTCCACACAAGTGTTCTTGAATCGATTGCTTTTAGAGGTTTTCAATTGTCTACCAAATATTTACTCAGCGAAATCGGCTTTGCAATTATTATCTATGGAATGCCAGACCGAGGTTCTACCTTCCAGTAATTCTACCTTGGTTCTGGTTCACATTTTTCCAGTAAATATTTACTCATATGCGCCAATATTTAGACAAGTAAATATCTTTTAACTGGAGCGTATGGCGTCAGCCTTGAATGAATCATTCCTTAGCATTTCCTGCTCATTAGCACCTTTAGAAATAATGCTGAATTCTAATCATAAATTCTGAATTCTAAAACCCCCATTTTTTTAATGAACATTTCGGCACTTCCTCTGCCATTGTCCCAGCAACGCGGCACATCATTTGGTTTTGTCTTCTTTTTGGGCTCTTTGTTCTGGAAGACTCTCCTCCGATTGCGCTGATGTCTGTAGCTGGAGCTTCTCAGGTTGCAGCAGCAACAGCAGCAGCATCAGCTTTGGAGGAGAGGCTTCGGCATCAATTTATGTAATCTGCCAGGCAACACGGAGCCCTCGGTTCTGGACGCGGGCCCGGACTTGGTCTTGGACTTGGACTTGGTCACATCATCTTATAAATTTAGCTCGTTTGCCGAAAGGGAGCAGAGCGGAGCAAAGATGGGATGAGATGCCAGTGGTTAACCGCAGAGCCACTTTGAATCGCAGTTTGGAGCCATGAACAATGCCGCCATCGCAAACTTGAACCTTACAGGGAGAGAAATTTGTGGCTTATTGCTAAATAAAATAAAATAAATATGGGTTTAAAATAAATGCGGAAAGTTATTTGCCTTTTATTAA